AAAACAGGAAATCAAGACCAGTGCTCAGGGGACCATCTGATTCTACAGGAAACTAAAACTTTTAAACATCAAGAAGCAGCATCCATTGTAAGTGATTTCATCAGCATTCATCATCACTTTAAACCAACAGACAGAACAGGGAGAGAATGGGAATGTAGAGTACAAACAAGAGATATAAAGTGAACATTTTTGCTATTGCAGATATGCAGAAATAACCCATAACATATGCATATTTACCTACTGTGAGCCATGGACCCCTCAGTGAGATAAAAGTTCTATAGCTCTATTTTTAATCTTTGACGTACTGTAACTATATGTATTTTTAGAAGACATTGTAAATGCAGCAGTGTTAGTCTTCTATCTGGAGCTATAATAGCCAGGGGGGAGAGCTTAGCTAGGAGTCCTGAAAACGGTGTTCCTCTGAGTTGTCAGGACTCTATGAGTTTTTATGACACATTAGGAATTGAATAAATGAGCAGATCCAGTTTCTTAAGGTGAAATTAGGAACAAATGTACCGTAAGTTGCTTAAAGTAGCATTAAACTGTTAGGGTTTATTCACTAAGCTGTTGAAGGCAGCCAAATGAAAAACCAATCCAAAGTGAAGTGAGCCAAAGGGGTTGATTTACTAACCTTTTAAACACACCACGAACGTGTATACACCTCTGTAGTGTGTTCCCTCCCAGCATGATCTATGGGAGGAATCGAAACACCTTTGTAGTGTGTACACACCCAGCAGGTGTGTTGTGCAAAGCCCTGCAAGGTAATGTGGTGTAAATTAGCTCTATGTTATGTTGCTTGCGTTGATGAATGCAGGAATGTAAATGCATGAGCTAACCATTTTTGTCTAAACTGTAAAGCAGCATTATATATGCATCATGTGAATGATTTTTCCATATATGGCATTAGTGGAAATATGCTTTTAGAGACTTTTTGATTGATAAATACGTTTTGCTGTTTGAAAATCACACGCACCTGGTGCGTGCATGTGTTTAGCTTAGTAAATCACCCCCAAAGGCTCTTAGCTGTACAATGGTTGCATTCTGCTCACTTCACATCCCTTTAGTTAGACCAAACAGCCTTAGAAAGTTTGGCCGGACCAAAGGGAAGAACCCGTTCTCGGCTCAGCATTCAGATCAGGCATTCTGTTTGCTACCTCAGAGGTAGCTGGATCCAACTCTTTCAGCTCCACTTCCCTGAACTTCCTGTCCAGTACAAGATCACAAGGGAAACCACAGTCCCACAGTCTTCAGCAGTGCCCATCTACTAGCTTAGAGAAGAGAGAATAAAGGAGGGAGGATGAAGGAGGGAAGAGCAGAGCGGGAGGGAAGTGGCATGCCAGTTCCTGTTTGTTTACGGATACACACAATGCAAGGGAAAGGAGCAATTCTAAAACAGGATATCAAGGCCAGTACTCAGGGGACCAGCAGATTCTGCAGAGATCATCAAGCAAATGTAAGTAAACACAACATGCAGTTTTTAAAGGAATGTTTTTATTATTAAGGGAAAACAAAACCCAAACACACATGGCCCTGTGTGAAAAAGTGTTTGCCCAACCCCCTGTTAAAACTTAACTTAACTCTGGTTTATCACACCTGAGTTTAATTTCTCTAGCCACACCTGTTCGCAATCAAGAAATCACTTGAATAAGACTTGACTGACAAAGTGAAGTAGACCAAAAGATCCTCTTAAACTACACATCATGCCGAGATCCAAAGAAATCCAGGATCAAATGAGAAAGAAAGTAATTTAGATCTATCAGTCTGGAAAAGGTTATAAAGCCATTTCTAAGCTTTGGGACTCCAGCGAACCACAGTGAGAGCAATTATCTACAAATGGCGAAAAAGTTTTTTCTGCTAGAAAAAACTTTCTAGCAGATTGAACAGTTGTCTTAAAGCACAACTCCAGATTTGACACCACACAATTCCTTCATAACCCCCTCTATACAGCAGACCCCCACCATTTTTTTAAAGTTTTAGTTTGCCTGTCGTCTGGCTAGTCACATGACATGCTAGTGTAATGACATGAGCAAAGTTCTTTACAGAATACTCCTTCATCTTGATGAAGGACCCTTAGCAGGTTGGTCCGAGATGGAATAGTGAGTCTGTGGAGTACAGCAGAGTAAGCGAGTATTGAAGCCAGAGCTCATTTTTTTTATATTAACAACACTTTGAAAATGTATTTTTGGTCAAAGCTGGAGTTGGGCTTTAAAGTAAACCTTTTAGAGTAAAAACATTTCTGAACTCCACCTCTGTACTAATTTATCGTTAATGCTGCTCCCTGGCCACTCAGATGCCCAATATATTTCCACAAAGTCACCAGAAACCATTGAAAATGTTACAGTACCTCCCACCACTGCCATGTAGGCAGTAAATATTTTCTAGACATTGGAGAGTTTCTTGGATTGCAAAGGCTGGAAGTCTTATTTGATGTGACAGTACTGCTTTAAAATTTGCATGAACCATTGAAGCGTTAACGGTTCTTGCCTTGATTTTCATCATGATGATTTTGCAGAATGAGCATGCAGTGCAAAGATGTTCAACCACCATCTTACATCTATGGGTATACGTTTGTTGACTGACCTAAAAGGCAGTTTTGGGCTTCCGTAATCTCTGCACTCACATCACTCAAGTACAAATTATTGAAAAAATAATTGTAAGTATCAAAGTAAGCTAACTGTTCTGCTGCAGAAACTAACAAAATCAATGATTGTCAGTTTTTCAAAGGAGGAGTAGCATATTTGTAGAAGAAGGTAGCTTTCATTTCATTTTAAAGTTATTATTGTATTGTACTGCTTTGCTGAAATATATCAAACTACTTCAAACTCAAGACACCTCATGGGGAATAGACAACTTAAGACATACTGTATTGCAAGCTTTGACTTTGGTTCACCTCAACAATAGTTGAAGTCCAACTGAATGAAGAGTTTCTTCTCAAATCCCAGAGACTAGTTCAATAAGTACAGTGCTTGTAATTTCCCAAAGAACTACACTCATGATACATATTAAAATAGTCTTTAAACTGTGATCAGGCAAAACCATCATTTATGGATCAACAAGACAAAGGAGACACAATAAAAAGCATTGTTCTTCTGGGCAAATGCATTTCCCACAAGACTGTTATGAAAAGCAAAAAATGTATATCCATAATTACTTACACTAAAGAAATAAGGTGTTCCACTTTTATGTTACATAATTCCTTATAAAAGGTATAAAAGGGGCACACTATGGGGTTATAGCTCAGAATGACATTGTGTTATACAGCATGTAGGCATTTATCTCTCCACTTATGATTTTGAAAACATATAACTATTTCTTAAATTCACTGCTAATATAGACATGCCACTGGTTTGAATCCTTGTCAGGAGGTCCAACCATGATTACTTCTACTCATTATTTACTATCTGTGTGTACATCATATTCCATACACAATAAACAACATTTTCTTCTATGACATCCCATTTTGCTTTCTGAGTCTTCAGTAGGTTTATTAACCACTTGGGTACTAGCCTGTATATACCCCTTCATTACCAGGCCATTTTCATTTAGTTTTCAGTGCTGTTATGGTATGACTGACAACAACTTATACAATACTGTACAAGAATAATTTTTATATCATTCTGTGAGACAGAGCTTTTTTTGGTAGTATTTAATCACTACTGGGTTTTTTTATTTTGTATTATATCAAAGAGAAAAATCACACATTTTGGAAAAAAACTGTTTCCCTTATTTTCTGTTATAAAATGTATCCAAGAAAATGCCAATACTACCCCAAAATGGACCCTTATAGGAAAGTAGACACTTCAAGGTGACCTCATTTTTGCCGCAATGTTGGAAATGAAGAAACATGCTGCTTGGTAATGGTGCACTAGATACAGCATATCACTATTGTACAGAGCATACAAAAAGGTAAAGGTGAAGTTAGTGTTTACATTTGTAATTGCCATGATTGCCAACCATGGAAATGACATGGCATGAGTCACTCTGATTGGCCCTGTGTACAATTCCTGTAATCTGCACTGTCTATTGTCAGCTCAATTGCAGGTATTTGAAGGGCTCACTGGCCCCCCATGAGTCCACCTACCCACTGTTTTTTTTAACAATATAATAGTAAAGTGTTAACCAAGTTTTACTAATGATTTTAAAATTAGCATATGAAAAGCTAAATTGTACAGTTGTCGATTATAATATAAGATAGAAAGGACCATAGATTAACAGATATAAATATATGGACACTAGTTTTCTGTTATACATCTGATAATGTATTACTAGTAAAGCAGTAGTTGTGAGGATAGTGGTCCCCTTGATGCAGCCTATGGGCTTGATGCAGCCCATTGCTTGCCTTCATCTAATACTTGGCACTATTCCTCCCACTGACATGATGAGGCACTATTTCTCCCACTAACACAAATGATAGGGCAAATTCCTTCCAATGACAACAAAGGGACATAATTGCTCACACCAGGCTGACACCAGTGATGGGCACAGTTCTTCACGCCATTGATGGGGTTTAATTTCTCCCTTTGACATCACTTCCTTCTACTGACCCCAGTGATAGGGCATTATTCCTCCTCCTGCTGACCACAGGCACTAGGCCATTTGTTTGCTTCTTCTAACCACCATCCCTTGAGAATGTTACTGCCACTGACCACTGAACCTGAGGCACTGTTTACTCCAACTAACAACTGATGCTGGGCATTTTCTACTCCCACTAGCCACCATCTAGCTTTCCTGAAGGATGGAGGACAGTGAACTGGCTCTTTGTTTAGAACGTTTGGGGAGCCCTACTCTATGGCTTTTATTGGTTCCACAGAAGTGGACAAAAGAGACCATGATAATGATTTCAGTGAATCGACTGAAATGGCTATTACTTAAGAGAACCAATCACTACTGGGGATTGTAATGCATTGTAGAGATAATCATCACACATCTTGCCCTCAACTGCTGATATGAAAGGAGAACATATAGGCATTAGGCAATAGTAGAGAGGACTTCAGCTGTACCCTAAAGTATAATACATAACATAGAGGAGACACAACAGCTAGATCAAGCCACCCCTGAAAATAAACAATGGCAAGGAATTGCTGCAAACGCGAGTCATGTATTGACGCTCCACAGTAAGACTACTCTTGTTCCATATATTTTGGGTGTACATCTAATTTTTTGGATTATGACTGCATTGCCACTGAACAGTACCAAAGCTTTAACATCCTTTGTGAGCTTCTTGGCAGATGCTTTATTTCACTATCATAGTGCACAGTACAACCTTCCATGTTAGCTCACTATTCTTTTTTTTATTGTACACACTATGAATAAGCTACTCCCCTTAAATAAAATAGCCAAAAGCTTCATATGTAGTTATTTAGAATGAATTGGTCTGTAGTGTCTTCAGCTAGCGAGCTCAGTGAGGACTTGTTTTAAAATTTTATTTAAGTCAAACATTTTTTAAGCTATTTCAAATGTTGATGTTGAAATAACGTACAATGGATGCTGATCCTTCAATTTGGAAGAGATGGGGGATTTGGAGCTGTTTGGAAACATGATTACTGTAAGTGCTTGGGCAAAAATATAAAGAGATATTTTGCTGGGCAATGTATATTTGTTTGATCTGGACTCATTATTAAAAAAATTGAGACTTTAATACTACTATATGTTTTATTTACAGTTCAATAAGAATGTGTAAATAAATAAATGTCCACAGCCTGGCCACAATTCTACCTTAAGACTAGTACTGCAAATTCTAACAAGTGCCTATACTTGACCAATTCTCTTTAGCTCATCGATATAGGCAAATTATACTGTTGTGGGTGCAAAGTTATTTTAAAAAAGGCTCTCTCCTAAAGCTAATAAACATTCTGAATAAAAGCTGTATGCAAGACTTAGGATAAAACAGCAGGATTTTAAGTGCCATGGCTGGTTAATTTAGCAATACACCCTTCCAGCCAGTCACAGTTTTGCATTCCGGTAAGCTATAAAGACAGATATATAATAATATAATAACAACAAGAACAACAACAAAAATAATAACAACAATAATACTTATTATTAAAATATGCATACCTACAAAACAGACAGGGATAAAAAAAAGTCAGCTTTGATGTGTATTTATGTATTTATATAAAAATAAGATAAACCCGAACAAAGCAGTGAAACAACTTGCAGAAAATATCTAAGTAAGAAAAACAGAAAGCAATAAAAAATGACTCCTTCCATTTTTCTTATATTAGAATGCACAGCTTTGTGCGAGAATCATATTCACTCTTCCCCTGTTTTTTTAAATGAAATCTGTGCTATTTGTGTTGCCAGTTTCCCATTGAAAGGATGCTTAATTTGATTATGTAAAAGTTTCAACTGGCATTTTTACAACTGAAGTTAGTTGTCAAAAAAAGCTGAAGTGCCTGAAAGTGTTTGTAGACTGTATTAAGGCCCCTAGGGGTGTTCATTTTTAATCAAAAGCAGCTAATTAGAATGTACGAGTTTTGTAGCAGCTAGAAGTAACACAAATCATTATACTGATGGATCCTTCATTAGCACTAATAATCACTGGCTATGTATACAGATTTAGTCTTATACCCTTTGACTAGGGTTTATCTATGTTTTAGCCCCCATACTCCTTCAGGTTCAAATATGATGGCATAACAAGCACAAAGTAATGCCCCTATAGTTTATGCATATTAGCAGCCTATGCATGATGTTTCTGTGCTTGTTGAAGTGTATCTCACAAGGTCCCCAGTACTCGGTCAGGACAATGGATTAAAATGTCACAGAGCCTAAAGTGAACCTTGCACCTAAAATGCATTTAAAAACCACAGAAAGTAAAGAGGAACTCCAGGATGTGGAAAAATTTACGCTTGCAGTGGGGCTACCTCCATACTGCAAGTGGTAACTGCTCGTTTTGGTCTAGGGGCTTAATAAAGAAAATATACTCATGTGATCCTTAGTCCTGTTGCAGTCAGTGCTCACCTCTCTCCCCCTGCAAGTGAATAGACCTTGCATTAGATGTGATGATGCCTTAGAGCTGGAGCCCGGGGAAGAAAGAGTTGCGGGGTCTAGCAGCTAGGTGGGAAAGAGGATAAGATAAGCATATTTTCTTTAATCCATCCCCTACACCAATATGACCAGTTACGTTAAATTTTGCACATCCTGGAGTTCTGCTTTTACATAGTGCTTTAAATTAAAATAATACTTAGCTTCCTATGCATATATCATTTCTATCTGCAAATTAAATAATAACACTTAAGTGAGTCTCAATTACAGATGGAGCCATTGTTATAAAAAGCCCCTTGGACTCCTGACAGAGCTTTCTTCCTACCGTGGTAAATTAAAAAATCCCTTTCCCTCTCCTCCCTATGACATATGTGTGATGCTGTCACTGCCTGGGCAAAATGTACACAGACAGATTCTAATGGTAAAATGTACTCACTTTTGCTGTTCTTCTATTGTGGGATTTTAATGTAGAAGAAAATCTAAAAGAAAATAGTGCTGACTGACAAAGTTGAAGATCTTTACTAGTTCACTAGTTTTAAATTAAAACTTCAGCTTGTCTTGAGCTTGAGCTACTGGGGGTGATTTACTAACCTAAACACACGCACGAATTCCTTTCAACAAAGTAGCTAAGAAGAGATAGGTAAACATGCCAGGGAACGGAAAACTATTTTGGCCTTGAAATGCCAGGAATTCAGCTTTAAGTGGGCAATTTTCATAATTAAATGGAATGGACAGTTCCTTTAATATTCAGCTGATTGACTTAACCCGGGGAAATTGTATTACATTTTTATTGGTAAACATGGTTTGCACTAAAAATGTGTGTGCAAGGTCAAGCAGCACTTATTTGTTCTGATTCTTTAACTGATGCCTACAAGAGAGTAAAATATAATTTTGGCTTTTGGACCTTGCCAACTCTAAATTCTGGATACTTAATGTTTACCATCTTTTTTGGTAGACATGTATAAAGACACCTTTTAAAATTGCCATTTGCAGTTCATACAATAAAACATAATACAATACGAACCAATTGATGTATCAAAACAAAGATTTAACACTTTTGTCATTGTGACATCATTATTAGAAAAGAAAGACGAGGAAAACTTGAGAGGCTGTCTATATTGACAGAGTCCTTTGTTTGATTTATTATCATTACCGAGCACTGTGATTCAGTGACTCATAAGCTGCAAGTGCCACACAAAAACAAGTATTAAACCTGTTCAGTTTAAAAGATAAATATTGATTACAAATCCATAACCTTTTCTATGTGTTCAGATATGAAATATGCTAACGTGGTATAACTGCTTTGTAGCTGCTACTAATATACAACCATATATTCATAGTCTATAGATGTGAGAGGGTCATGCTGTGGACTGTGCCACCTGCCAAAATATTACAAAACAACCTCTCTATAGGACTCAACAGAAACCCTTTACACTCCATGCAGACAAAGCCACTGTGAATTACCTTAAAATATCTTAATTTATTACAAAGCAAATAACACACAAAAGAAAAAAGAAGAAAGAAAAAAGTATAACATCACAAACACACAAACACTTAACGCAACACACCAAAAAGACCATGGTATAGCTAAAAGGTCCTTTAGCTGCTTTCTCTGTATAGAGAAATCATCAAAAGAATCAAAGCAGCAGTTTTCTATGATGTAACCGTTGTTTAAAGAGGCTTTAATACATCCTCAACTTGTTTCGTAGTTCCACAGCCTCTAAAAAAGTTTGTTCAGATAATAAACAGCACATGTATGTGATGTAATACTGTGCATTCCCTTCAATCTTTTAGGGTAGATTATAGCCTTTATATCACATGAAGACTCAATCAAGCTGTCTGGGGATGGTGCAGGCCAATTCATAGCAAGTCATTATATCTTTAAACGGTAAGTAGATAGGCAAGATAGATGTTAAATGAGCATTTCTGTCCTCACTTTTAAAGTTTGTCTTTAATCAATCATTCAAAGTAGTGATGGGCCGAACAGGCCCGAGTTCGGTTCGTATTCGAACATTTGAACCTCCGAAAAGTTCGAATTCGAACTCGAACTCTTTGCAAGTCAATGGGGGTAGAACTTTCAAAAACAATTGTCCCTTTTAAGAGGTCTTATATGCACGTTATTCGCCATAAAAGGTGTATGGGGGTCCGTGTACTGCCCTGGTGGACAGGAATCAATGAAAAAACAAAAAAACTAAAAAAGTTTTTAAAGGAGCAGTGATTTTAACATCACTTAAAGGTTAACAATAAAAATGAAAAATTAATTCAAATATCGTTCCTTGGGGGGTCCCCATAACCTGACTGTAAAGTGGCAAATCTGTACGATGTATAGAACCTGCTGCAGCAAAACTGACATTTCTAAAGAAAAAAATATGACATTTTTTTTTTTAATTTTTAAAGTGTGCGGTTTCCCCTCTCAAACAATACCAGACCCTTTAGGTCTGGTAGGAATGTTAGGAGGAACCACATTTTTTTTAAGTGTAGGGTTCCCCCTAAAAGTCATTACAGACCCTTAAGGTCTGGTAAGAATATTTAGGAGGGCCCCCTTGTAAAAAACAAAGAAAAGTGTGTGGTGATCCGCCTTAAAGTCATACCAGGCCCTTAAGGTCTGGTATTAATTTTAAGGAAGAAACCCACCCCCAAAATTGGGGGGAAAACGTGGGGTCCCCCCTAAAATTCCATACCAAAGCCTTGATCCGAGCATAGGACTGGTAGGGCCAGAAAGGGGGGGGGATGAGCGAGCGCCCCCTCCCTCCTACAGCAGGCCATATGCCCTCGGCACTGGGAGGATGCTTTTCCAGGGTTTCCCCTGGAAAAGCACCTTGTCCCTGTGCCGATGGTGACAAGGGCCTCTTCCCCACAACCCTGATGCAGTGGATGTGGGGTCTGCGGGCAAGGGGGCTTATTTGCATCAGGGTACCCCTTTAAGGGTGCACCCAGATGCCGCCCCCCTTGTGAATGAGTAAGGGGTACCCCTACCCATTCACTAAAGGATTAAATAAAACTGTTATTAAAAAGTCCAGACTTTTT